AAATTATAGAATTTATTGTACTTTTCGTTTAGATATACATAAGTTGCTAAGTAATAATTATGATACAACTTTTAGCTTCAACTGATTAAGCAAAGATGACTACATCTTCTTAATCTGTCAGCAAAAGATGACTGCATCTTTCTGACACAAGAGCGTCCACTAGAAGAATTCTCATAATCTTTATACTGTACAATAGCAATGTATTTTTTATGTCTTAAATACCAACATTTTATAAGATTTATTGTGAAATGAGAGTGAGAGATACCTCATCAATTAGTCTGCATAATTACTGGAGTGAAGGAATAATAAGGTGGAATAATGCATTTAGTTATGATACATGATTGGTACGTTCTACACATACTCTTTGAAATAGACAGTAGAGGCAATTGTAAATCCTACCGGTGAAGGTGCAGAAACATCAATGATTTCCTCAAGAGGAATGCCATGCATGCCATCGTAATCATACCACCTGCCATGATATTTTAATCTCCCCTTGTAGTGAACTCCATTCCAGAATGTGATTCCTCCTATTGTGTATGTGGTGTCCAATAGCTGCAGACTCTTTGGAATTTCTTCGGGACCGTTAAGCTTGTCTGTCTGTCCAAGATCTCCAAGGAAAATTGGTAAGACCCATGGTAATCCATTTGCAAACTTTCGAGGGTCAGATGAACGGATGCCTCCACAACACAAAGGTTCATTCCAGAAATTGCCAGAAAGAACAAACTGGGAATGACCAGTTTTCGTTGGTGCAGTTGGTGGTGGTTGATGCTGGAATTGTACATCACATGGTTTGGGTGGTGGACAGAACCAATTGTAGAACAATGTCTCAAGGTATGTTTGGTTTTGAATATCATCGACATTGCCATCGAGAATTTGAATGCTACTTCGATTCAATTCCTGTATTTGTTTGGGGCAGTCCTTTGAGGTGCAAGTTGTTTTTAGCGTATTAGCTGTAACTGGTGCCAAACAAGGAACAAACATGTCTTGTTCACAACCCCAAACATCAACTGTTGATGATACTGCGAAATTGAATTGGGGAAACTGTCGCAGCCAATGCACCTTACCAGTACCAGCATCATCAAATGATTGAACAACATCATTCAGACATCTAGCATACCTTTCATCCTTAGCCAATTGGGATAACTGGTAGAGCACTTCTGGGTGCTCCTTCAAATATAAATAAAAAATGGTCAAGTAGTTATCTACAGGACATGTGTTAATCAGCTTGATGACAACAGTGTCCTGCAGATAAGCATGGCCTCCCCATTTTGGAACCCATATGTCGGAGGAATTATTCTTGTCACTAGTTGAAGCTTTCGCTGCATTGAAGGATTTCTCAAGTGAACATCTAGCCTTCGGATTTGTCTCTGGCTCTACTTCAGACAGTTTAAACTGTTCTTCCCAGATGCTGTGGTCGTATGTGAAACTGGGCTGGCAGGCTTTGGGGATAACTAAACACTTGTTGACAGTCTTGAAGTTAAAGTTGTCAGGACCAAACAGTTTATCAAACAGACTGCTGGTTTCTTGTGTCCACTTCATATCATCCAAGGTCCATTTTACCTTCTTGACCTTCCACCCACAGCCACGGAAATAGAATGCTTTATCTATAACAATAGATAAAGGATAATACAATAATTGTGAGTATTCCTTTTGTTCTCTCAGGGCCATTAAAAACCAATTAACAATAAATAATGGTATAAATTAAATGGTATAATTGTTTTCCATGTGTTTGTTTAGTTTTGGCGATTTCAGATATCTTCATTTATATTCATTTTTTTCTAATCGTACGTACCGCTTTGACGTCGTATCGGGTAAGGGTTAGAACTAATCCTACCTGACACGACGTAAAAGCGGGTAGGATTGGAAAAAATGAATATAATGAAGTATATTAGTTTTTTAATTCCCCTGCGAGAACAAAAGGAATATCCGCAATCATGATATTATCTAGTTTAAACTGGGCTAGTGTACTCATTTGTGAGTATATAGTGTACTGCCAGTCACCAGTGGTGAATTGATTTCAGTTATTTACAAATTTGATAGTCTTTTCCTTATTGCTGTTTTGTTTCAGTGGAGATACTGATTTCAGTAGAGATACTGTTTTGCTAGCCTGTAGAAAACAATTCACATAATAATACACATAATACCCAAAGTATGTCTTTACCTGCTTGGAAGCATTCCAAAGCCTTCCTCAATGAAAGACGAAGAAACAAGAGTTTATCGACATACACATGGGTTAAGATTTGTTTAACTATAAAAAACACAAGAAAATGATATAAGCTTAAAAATATAATCTGTTATACAACTAATGATATACAGTAAGATGGGTATCTATCCACTTGACACTAGATAGAAATTGTACTACGGTATCTTTATTTTATTTCAATCATTTCACAAACCTGATGAGTCTTTCTCCTGAATGTCATGATTGGTGGCCTGCAAGTACAGTCGTCGATCAACCTTATGTGAACTTTCAAATCCTTGATTACTAAATTCCCTCATGGATCCGAAAGTTCTCATCAACATTGATGCGTGTTCGATTATCAAATGTCCATAGTCACCAGTACCAAGCAATGGACCAAAGGTGTCACGAAGGTGGAATCCCCATTCCTTACACTGATATTAAATGAGAAATTATAGGATTAATTCGCTCGTTTTAAGTAATAATATACACTATACTAAGTTACTGAGCAAGATATTTCTATACCCAGGATAAGGTAGCGTAATTCACACCTTAAGATCAAAGACATCAATTTCATCGGCTTCATCTTCTTGAAATATTTTATCACGGGCAACCACTGCTATGTCCCGCCACATAGTTGCAACCTGCAGAAAATACACCGTCTCAGATGAAAAAGAAATATTGCTGTTGGTACTGTAAACTGTATCATGAACCCTAACTCGTCTTTTCATGTACAGTGTATGCCTACACTTCCTAACATGTATGATGCTACAAATACTTAAATGCTTGTATGATACTACACGTATAATAGCATTATTATAAGCAACCATACCATTCTAAAAAGTTCCCTTTGAATCTGAGCTACAAAATCCTGGATGTTCTCATCTCCCTCTGCCTCCATAATGGTCAGGCTCTCTTCAATCCTTCCACTCAGATCCTTCCAATAGAGTAGCCGTCCACGAACATGGATTTCTACTTTGCCTAAAATGTAAAAGTTATCTTTTCTTTAAAAGGAAAGAATTAAAGATGAAAAAACTTTCAATTTTTAAATGAGAACGATTCTTTTGACACCATGCAGAAAGAAAAGATCAAATGGATTCGACTCTCGTGCCGTTTGTCATTTCCCTTCTAATGTAAACTGAAACACACACAGTCGAAAGTTCAGATGGCGTATAAAAGGTACACAGTCGTATTGCTGTACTTACTTCCAGGCATGATAGTAATGACTTCTTGGTGAATGCCGTGGTCTCGAATGAATGTTTTTCCTGGCAGGTTCTTCTCTAAAAACTTTAATAGAAAAGTTGTTAACTTAATTATTTACTGCATGTAGAGGAACAATACGCTGCATACCATGTGAAAATATCGCTGTACAGTACCTTTTATCATATTTGAATAGATGGTTTAATAATGAGTTTAAATAACTATAAGTATAGTACTCTTTTCGCTATTTACCTTAATTATCTCTTCACAAAACCCAATTTTCTTTAGAAGGTAATCTTCTGCTGCAGAAATTGTGATGTAACTCACAAGCTTGTCAACTGCAAGAGCCGAGTTCACAATATCCTCTATGTTGGCCAGAAATGATCGTTCAGTCGGGCCTACAGAGAACGACAGACATGTCATTCTTTTGAACAGGTGCATGACATAACATTTCACTTTTTGGAAATGATATACAGTGTACAAGGAAACATACGTTGTATTTGTTACAAACCTTTTAGGAGTAATATTGTAGGGGTCAATAGTAAATCGCGACTTGAATGATCCGACTGGCGCATATATTATATTGTATAAACCGTTTATACTGTGTGAAGATTTGATTGTTGCTTGAAGACAACATCAGGACATGCGATTATAAGTTTGCATATAATAATTGCAGTGCAATTGTAACCGTGAGCACCCACTGCACATTTAACATGTACATATAAATGATAGCATGTACATATAAATGATAGCATCTGTTTGTTATTGCATTGTGTCGATTACCTACCAGAAATGGACGCTATCTTAATGTGATTCTTGGTGACCTCCAAATTCTTGTTTCTATTGTCCTTGATTCTGATGAAGTTCTTCTTCATTGATTTTGGCCCTAATTCTGCCAGCTTCTCGTTCAAATTCTCTAATGCTCCAATTTTGTACGCATACAAGCCCAGTGACCCAAGAATTTGCTCAGTATTTCGCATTTCGCAATGTAAGGCACATAAATTTACCGAATTCATGTCCTCATCCAATAGTAATGTGAGATCATCACGAATTCCTTTCCAACTATAGTTGAAAAATAAAACAATTGTGCGCTACATCAGTGATGCTTATTAAAGTCATTCGTAAATTTGAAATGGGGCATTGGTCCCAAGTATTCAGAGAAATGTTATCGAATATGATCTTACTTTCCAATATTTCCTTTGCTGTTCGCAAAACAGCTTACGCAAGTTTCTCCAACAGCTAGGCCAGGACAAGCACATCCCTAAATATTAATATTTTTAAATAATTGTTCGAAAGTTCTTACGAACATGCAACATTTGAGATGATGTTAAACTCAGTCTGGTAAATTCTCGTGTCTCGTAGCGTTTTAGTAATCAAATAATGTAGAAAATAGGCCTTACACTCTTTTAGCTTTGCCGCAAATAATTCATAGCCATCGTGATCTATACTTACTCTAATAGCAGTACAAAATACGCAAAACTCGACACTTAATCCTCTTCCTCCAAGAACAACCTTTTTGCTTTTTGAACGTGTCGTGTCTTGATTATTGCTATCTTTCTTGATCACAATTAACAATAGCGCTTTGTAGTCCAGTGTAACTATATAATATATTAAATTTGTCCGAAATTATTGTTTATAGTATTGTATCAACGGGCTGTTCGTCACTGGGTGATAGACAAGACCGAAGCATGCATGTCCTGTTTTGCTCAATCGTACTGGAAATAAAACTGAATGTCAAACCTGTGAAATCGATTTTATATCTTCGGCCATCAACTACCATTCCATTTGTTTTAATTTTCTCCTTTGCCACTGTTATGTCCTTAATCATTGTTTGAATGTTTTGCCTATAAAAAATAACCATCAAGGAACCTACTCTTCACAAGAGCCTATATACTCGATCTTCATAAGCCATCTGCGTCATTATGCAATTGGATGGGTGACTATAGACAACTTGCGCAGTTGGTTGCACTCAGAGTAGCCTCAAAAAATACTCAAAAAATAATTCACCTGAGTTCTACACCACAACAACCATTAAAGATACATTAACTTTGAAGCTAACCACCTGGCCCCAATTATCAGATAGGGAATATCCATTTTGGGGATTTTGCTATACATGCAGCTTAGTGGTTTTATTTTTATCACATGAATCAGCAAGCATAAATTCGCTATTCACTTTTAAATATTTAATTCAAAACCTTCATCTGGTATTAGACAGAATAAAATACTCAAGGTTGACCGCTTAACACAGGTCTTGTAGAGAATCATCACAACATGCACTTTCAGTGATTAGTTCGACCACTTAATACAGGTTCGACTCTATATCTTATAGTCCCACTTACACATACATAAACAGGTTTTGAGTGTAACCTTGTCCCTAGATTTATGACTTTATTACTATTGTCTTTGAACAGCACACGTAGAGCAAATGATACCAATACTTGCCCAGGTCCAGGTCCAATCATTCAAAATTGGTATATAGCCTAGTAGGGGACTACGAGTCCTTTGCTCATTATACCTTGTAATTATGTGTTGCTAAATCATTAAAATCAAAAATCAAAATGTTTATGTGATAAAATTTAAAAAGACAATGGTTATTTTACATACACATACAGTATAGGCTACCAAATAATTAGTTCTAAGTCTATGTTTAATTGCTTTGAAAACTTACGTATTTTCACCACAATTTGCTATGGCAAGTGGCAGGATGGATTTTGAGCTCTGGGAAGATGTATAAGATGGGTTTTTTACGGGTACCACACCAAACGATATTTGTTCTTTGCCTAGAAAAATATAGCATTTATTTGCACTCTTTAGACTACTCGATTACTGCTTATAACCTTAGATTGCCACATACACTGGACTGATAGATACCGACCGGAATACCGGAAGGAATATAAACTGGCAGTAATCCAACACTGATAAATAACTGGCTAAATTGCCATGCAATTTTATTTGTCATTGCTATAGAGTACTCCTAGTTATTAATGGGTTAACAAAATTATCGTCTTATGGTTAATCAGAGGAAATGCAAGATAGTTTTGTTAACCCATTAACTGACATGCAGTACTGACCACAACTGCGTAAAATACTTAGAACCCTCCCTTGGCCTTGACCAAGGGTGGCACATTGTAGCTCAGTGGATTAACTGTATGTCGGATGAAATAGTGTATTTCACTTGGTGATGGCTTCAACTGATATTAAATATGAGGGTATGCATGCCTGATATAAAGGCCATCTAAATTATACCTACCCCAAAAAGGTCTACCATCCAGTTTCAAATTGAAATGTAGCGTTCGGTCATTGCCACTGCCATCTACTTGGTGCAATCTCATCTCCCGAATACCCCATGCCAACACAGAAACTAGGTTTACTTGTGCACCTGGGAGCCCATCAGGTAAATCACCAATTCCAACAGTTTGGTAAGCAATTCGAAACAGCACCTCTTTTATGGCACAAATTTGGTTCTTTGTTGGAAGAATGGCAAAATCTGTGTTTTTCTTAAAACAGTAGATAGATGTTTTTCACATGTTCTTGTTAGTATAGGTAATAGGATGGTTTTGAGTGCAATTTGGAAAAAGCACAACTGAGTTTTTCAAAGACTATCAAAATTGTACGAGTCCAAAGGACGAGTACAATTTGAAGTCTTTGAAAAACTCACGAGTGTATGTTTTTTCAAATTGCACGAGAAACCATACTATTACTTATTAATAATATACATTAAAAAATTAACGCTAGCCATTTTTACCACTCCTAAAAACTCTTAAATTTTTGTATTATTTCTGCTGGAAATTGCTGTATCTAATTATTGACTATCTTTGTTGTTGTTTCTTTTTTTAAGTCAATCAGGAAGGCTATAAATAGTCAATGAAATTTGCACGTAACATATTTCATTTTTTGGTACTGTATTTCGAAAAAATTGCACTGCCAATCAGAATTGAGAAATTTTTCATGTATATTATTATAGTTAATATAGTTTTATTATTTATAATTATGGAACAACTTGTGTAAACCCAAGGCTATGCGAGTTTTCAAACCTTAACACAATTAAAACTGCACAGACTCGTACGAACTACTGGTAGTTCCATAAACGGTCCGAGAAATTCAAAGTACTGAAGTAGTTATATACTTGTGCAAATAGGTATGGTGAGTATGTCTGTATATATATTGCCATTTGCTCATGTATACTCTTAGTAAGAGTATACATGAGCAAATGGGAACATGGGCGTACCGGAAGGAAAAAATTAGGGGGGCGGAAAGAAAATTGCCCGACTTTTCGGGATTCTGCCCGACTAGTACCAAAAAATTTTTTCCGGAAAAATTATTTTGGCGCCCTTCCCCCC